AATGCAATAAATGCGTAAAACAAGCATTGCAATGCACTTTCCCTGTGCAATGCACTTTTGTGCAAATGCAACCATTGCAATTCGAACGATTTGCACATCGCAACCCATTATCAAAAGCAGTAAGGTTGCATGTGAACGTTTGATCCTTGTTGCTTATTGTGCTGTGTGTTGTGTGTTGCGTGTTGTGTAAGTGTGATATATGAATGCTCATGTATGTGAGTGTATCTATGTGAAAATATTGAATTGCTTGTGTGTAAATTGAATTCGATTGAATTCAATAAAATTCAGTTCATTTCAATTTGCTGCTGTAGTAATAATTTCATTCAATTTTTTTAATTTGTTATTTTTTTTTAATACCCGTGTTTATTTCTTGATAGTTTTGGTTTGAGTGTAACTGTGAAATATTGTACAAGTATGCAAGTATGGAGAGAAAACTATTAAAGTTTGCAGTTTCAGTAGTACGGATTACTGAAACCTGTAGTTTTACTGGGAATTTTATAGTATTGCATTGACTGAGTTCAGTTGAATTTGTTATGTATTTACTGACAACGAAATTATATTTTAATTTTTTTTTTTGTTTTTTTTGTTTTTTTTGATACTTACTCGGATGTAAAACTTTCTGCGCTTTACTGTGACTAGCACAAAACGAAGAATATAATTTGAAATGATTTACATAGTAAAGGAAAGCGGAACCAATCGCAAACAGTACGTTCTGCAAAGATAGAGATAAAATTTAAGTTATTGAAATTGAAATTTCAGTTTGAGACAATGTGCATTTCAATCGAATATGTATTTTGTGTATCTTCTTAGTTCGTTCTTGTAGCAAATATTCTTTGTAAAAGACTAAAATTGTTAACAAAAACAAAATAAGAGACGTTTTTAAATAAGAAGAAAAATAATGTTATATTTTACGTAAAACAGATAAATATTTCTTGTTGTAAGATTTAAAAAATTTTTTTTTTTCAACTTAAATCAGCAGGTTCACTTTAGATATATGAAAAAAAAAACGATGCAAAATTGTAGAAAAAGAATTGAGTTCATTAAATGAAGTTTCTGCAAAGATTTCGTTTATTTTCAGTTGCAGTATTGAACTGGGTAAATGGTTAAAGTCAGCATGAAAAAAGGTAATTGAGTTAGGACAGATTTACCTGTTGCGAAAGCAAAAGACATAAACTAGATAACATGGTAAGATTAAATGCACCATCCATTTGCACTGCAAAGGATGTCGATAGCAGAGAAAATACTCCCTTTTAACACTACTGCAGAAATACAGTATTTACTGAATTACTTTTCAATTCAACTACATTTTAGCAAACGTTTTAAGGCATTAAAGAAAATTCAGGGCTTGAATTAAACATTAAATTAAATAAAATTCTAAATTTTAACAAAAAGAAAATAATAAATTTAATTGAAAATTGAATTAAAATAAATTGAAAGAGATGTGCATGAGAAAAAAATTCAATTTTTTAGTAAATAAAATTTTATCATTTATAATAAAATACTATATGCTAACTATTTACAATGAATTTTACTGAAGATATAGTCAATTCTATCTAAATAAAGAGTTGGATTATCCAAAAGCATTTAATTTTATATATTACATTCTCATTATTTAAAAATAAATATAGAATAAATCATATTTATACGTAAAATATAAGTAATTAAGATATTAATTGCTATTAATTTTTATTAATATAAAAAATATTTTGAAGTTATAATAATATATACAATATTTTAAAAACATCAAATTGTAAACAAATTTAAAAGGCATTCCATACAAAAGCATGTTTTCCTATAATATGCTTGAATAATTAACACTGGCTTGAACAGTACTATTACTTTTGGTGTATTTTTATAATAGATATCTTGCCTTTTTATGATATATATCTGCAGAAGTTCGTATTACTGAAGGTATTCACTGTTTAGGCTCAAACAAATGGACTTACCATGATATAGTAGCTTTTAAACACATTAGCTGGCTTAAGAAATTTTAGAAAAAGATACCCCTATTTAAAAGACTACTGTGTGGATTTTATGGAACGAAGAGGACTTGAAGATAGACTTCTGACATATACGTCTTTCTTTTAATTGCTCTTTTATTAGTACGGCATTTATATTGAATAATAAAAAGTTTCGATGTGTGAACTGCGACCTATTTAATTGTAAAACACACATAAATAATATCAACTCATCGATACAAACCTGGATATGTGAACAGTTTAAAGGCATAGAAGAAGTCAACATCATGATGACAAATGAATTATAGACAAATTGCTGAGACGAGGGTATACCCAGCACCTTATGAGTTAGATTAGACAAAAATAAAACGGAAAGCCTTTTGGGCTTCGGTAATCTATTGAGACTGTGAAATTGCGTTGATGCTTCAATGGTGACATATTTTGACAAATAACCACCTTTTATAGTTTTGTCCTGGACTACAAAAGATATCCAAGGGACTAATACTTATTTGGCGTGACAAAGATAAAAATTTACTGAAGATGCACAGAAGTACATAAGAAGAAGGTCTAAGAAGATAAAAACAGGGAATAATAACGGTTAGTTAACGGTCCGAGAGAAAATGTTCTCTGAGTTCTCTGATTGTATAAATTTATATGTGAATAAAATCACAGAAGAATTAAGCTGTTCTATCTTTATATGGGTATTTAATGCAAAAAGAGAGATTTGTAGAGATTATATATACCAGTAGCTTAGAGAGTGATAAAAAATTAACAAATGCAAGCTATTTAAACAAGATGGGAGTCATAATATAACAATTTATTTAGATACGTAATAATTATAGAGTGTTGTTGCTGCATAGTTGAAATAATCATAAATAACCACATAGATCCAATTAACTAATCTCGATTTTATAAGCCAACTCTCGTCCGCTTAGAATAAGAATGCTGCGGTGCTATATATTCTCTATATTCCTCTACGGGACAGAGGCCTGGACGCTGTCTGTTGCATCGATAAATAAACTCGAGGCTTTTGAAATGTGGTGCTACCGACGTATGCTCAAAATAAGCTGGACAGAAAAAATTACAAATACAGTGGTACTTCGGCGTGTCAACAAAGAGACAGAAATATTAGAAACAGTAAAACGCCGAAAGTTGAAGTTTTTTGGTCATATTCTGAGGCTTCCGGAAAAGTACGGACTACTAAAATTAATCATTGAAGGCAGAATTGAAGGTAGACGTGGCCCTGGGAGACGAAAGATACCATGGTTGAAGAATTTATGTCAATGGTTTAATAAAAATAGAATATCACTTTTTCGAGAAGCTGTACATAAAATCAAAATAGCAATCATGTTAGCCAACGTTCGAAGCGGATAAGGCACCTAGAAGAAGAAGAAGAAGAACTCTCGTCCAATACGTTTTAGGGAAACACTAACTTAAGATCTTTAGAACCTATGTATTTCAATTTTTGACAGTTTTAAAAAATATGCAGTAAAAAACATCTTACAAAGAATAAAATTGAATGTCTCCTGTTATGAATGTTTTTGAATACGTAGCCAAAGTAATTATCTATCATTACTTATAATAAACTAAACATATATTTCACCTTTATATATCTCGTCATCTGCTTATATCTTTTAACTCAGAACATTTCAATCACAATTAATTAGTTTTTTTTTTAAAAATTGCACTTTATGTGATCAATCAGTTTTCTTCTTACTTGTCATGAATTTCTCTTGAGTACTCGTATTATTCTAGGTATTAATTTCTTAAATAATTTTAAAGTACTTTAAATTGAAAAAGCCACTACAGAAAATAATGAAATCAAACTTCCTACTTTCAACTTCAACAGTAATCGCCTTTTTGATTCTAATTATTTCAAAGCATTTCTTTGCACTCGTCCATAGAAACTCGCACAAATAATCTTTATTTAACTGACGTCATATGATTATCGCTTGGAAAATAAAATGTGATTTCAACTGAATGCATTTTATCAACTTCAAATAAAAGAACGAAATAACAAAAAGAATAAAAATAAAAGCAGACATACATACACACATACAAACATATACATGTACAACTAAATTAAGACTCTCATTTCGAATGTTATTTAGACAGACATATAAGAACTCATACGCACTGATGTACACATAAACACACACACACACAGACATTCAGTCAAAGTCAATTAAATGCATTGCACAAGAGGATTAAAACAAAAAAAAATATATTTCTTTATATACAATGAGAAAGTATCTACGTATGTATTTGTGTCATTTGAACTCAAAAAAAACAAAATCAAAAAAAAAACAAAAGAAACCCTCACCCATACATAGTGACATTACAGTCAGATGTAATTAAGAGTTACATTCATATGATAGTCCCTATTTAAATGTGTAAGTCTTTGCATAAGCATTAGAGTTGGTGTGTATGTTCGTATGTGTAAAGGTGTTACATATACACGTGTGTAATTAAAAAGTGAATTAAGTTTGTATGTTCGTGAATTTGTCTGAGTTTTTGCATCTGTGTTGTGCACTGTAACGTACACTTTTCTTTATTTTAGTCACATTTTCTCTTATTTGAGGTTTACAAATATAGCGCAGAACAAAAGTAAAAACTTAATTAAATTCACTTTAATAATATTATCGTCATCGTTGCGCTGACAACAACAAAAATGACAGCACTGACAGCACTGACAACACGAAAACTCAAACGAAAAAAGGATTATTAAAACTAAAGTAAAAAGGATATCTTTGTTTTATGTCATCTACTTATGACTATTTTTGTGATACGATTTTTCAGTTATATTAACTTGAATTAATTATATTGTTCGTTAGCTTTTGAGAATATTCTTTCGGTGTTTGTTTGTTTTTTTCTAAGTGTTCATTTGAAGTACTAAAACTATTATACAGTAAATAAAAATTAAAACCAGATGCTTATAAATGATGTTTTTTTTATTGAAAAAATTAACTTAGCTAAAACGGTTTATATCAAAAATTCAGCTAAATACTAAGTTTAAAAAATACACTTGAAAATTTTATAAAAACTGAAATATTGCAAATATATTCCGTTTTAGATTTTATACTAAGGTAATAAATTACATCGACGAGCTAAATCGGTTAGCTGATATCACCCTAATCTGGGTTCTTGGACATACGAACATAGAAGAGAATGAAAAAGTTGACAGTTAAGCCCGCTCTGGTGCTTCCCGAGTTGTGTCACTGGCGGTACCGGTTTATATTACCCTAGAGATCTTCTACAACTTAACTTGCTAATAACAAGTAGAAAGCACTTGTCACGTGCAAATTTCAGATTAACATGGCCCGCCTATAATAAAAATAGATGCTCGGAACTCATCAAAAGAAACCGCGTGAACACTGCAAGGCTTACTGCAGTTGTGACTGGTCATTGGTAAGGACAATATGGCTGTCCAAAAGAGATGCGATTGCGGGCCAATACAAATTGCTGTAAAGATTGGTGGGCCGCAGAAATAAATATATTGTTGTTATTACAAATACATTATAACTTTATAAATTTTGTTCTAATATTAAATTTAGTTTTAGTAATTGATCAATTTTAATTCACTTATTTGGTATACCATAAACATAAAATAATGAAGATTTACCAGTAAATACGAATTTAAAATTAAATTACTTATGAATAATTTTATTTTTCCTATATATATAACTATATATTAAATTATTATATTTATATAAATAGTATATTTGTACATAATTATAAATTTCATAATCTAAAATATTAAATATTCCATAATTTTCAATATACGTATATATATAAATATATAAGGGTGGGGAACTTAATATAAATTATTTAATTAAATGGGATAATATAACAATTGGTATTGATATAAAATTATTAATTAATTAAATATTTATATATTTGGCAATATTTTTGAATTGAATATTAGATAAATAATAAATAATAAAATTTATAAATCCTTACCGATTAATACATCCCTAAATTTTTTAATCAAAATTAATATATATCTATTAATTAATTAAATATTTATAAATATTATATTTACATAATACACTTTCTTCATAAATGCCAGGTTGTGGCGTCCAGAAGATATAGGTTCTTAGCAAGATATTTCTTTAATAGTTTATCAGACTATTCATCGGTGAATATGAAAGACTTATTAAATTATCTAAATTCGGCTGGATGAATATGGTTTCTAATCTTCTATACTAGAGTTCTTGCGACGAATGCGGTAGAAAAACGGGGAAAAATCACTAATTGCTGTACACAAAAGTTATTGAATGTCCTCCCACCGCAACCAACCAACCAACCAACCAACCAACCAACCAATAAATTACAGGAGTATGATTAATCATATTTATTTCTCCAATTAATTTTTGTATTATTAGTCATGAAGGATGCATAAATAATATTTGTTTATATTGAAAAAATTAATTCAGCTAAAAAGGCTTAATTAAAAAATACAACTAACTATTTGGTTTTAAAAATAAGATAGAAATAAGCCACAAAATTTTAATAATAGTTGAAACATTGCAAACGTTTTTAATTTTTAATTTCTGACTAAAATAATATACTACAGTGCGTATGAGCAATGTTTCTTATATTAAATGCTAACAGTGTGCTTAGTGTGTTCATTTTCGCATTGTTGATCATAAAAGATGAATAAGAAAGTTTTTGAATATTATTTTTTTTGTGTGTATGAAAACTACATCCTTTGGCAATTTTATTTTTACAAAATCTTGTTTTCTTGACTGAATATAATTATTATTTTATTATAGGCGGCAACCTCACACCACATTTTAAGCATATATGTATTTGTATTAAATTTTATTAACATAAAATATAAATATAAAATTTAGTAAATACTGAATTTATAATATCTAAAAAGAATTAAATAAAAAATCGAAGTTCTATATAAAAAAAAATTATTTTTGTTGCCAATTATACGAGCTCACAATTTTTTAATATCATTTATAATAGAACTGGATAAATATTTATTATTTATTTCTGTTTAAAATAGAAATAAATGTAGCTCAGATATTCAAAAAACAAAAGCAATGGTGTGGATTTTGATCAGATAATATTAAAATAATTGTGTGCTGTTAAACGAATTTTACGATTTTTTTTAGTTATTTTTTGTAAAGACAATATGAAAGTAATTGCATTGCTGGAAAATAAATTTCATGTACAAAAAGATTGAACTACAAAATATACAAAAAATGAACTATAAACAATAAAAACATAAATTGGCGTAAGCAACGAAGAACCAAATGCTCCAAAAAGAATAAAAGAAGAATAAATGCAAGGTATAGTCCAAGGAAGATAGAAGCTAAATTTGGTTGCGATTTTATGTTTCGCTCAGTGCACTGATATTTTGAGATATTATAGTAAATACCACCAAAAAAAAAAAAATTTCGCTATCTACAATAAGGAGTACAAGTAGTGGTGGAGTAGAGGTATAAAGTTATTACTTTTAAATTGAAATTTTTTTTATGAGTTGCTATGTTAAATGAAGTGTACAGCAATATGGGCGAATACCAGGTAAAAATATGGTAGACAACTTGCAAAATGTAATAAATTTATTTTTCATTTGCAGTGGCGACCAGAGAGCAGTTGTTGGTCGTCCAATTTTCCGGTGCACTAATAATAATTTGCACAACAATAATAAAATGAATTAAAATTTGATTAAGAAAATGGAAACTGTTGGCATATACACAAGGATACTAACTAATACAATACCAGTTGATACAAATACAGATAAACTATTTTTAATTTCCTGTCAATATAAGCCAATTGCGAAGTTACTGCCTGCAGGTAGTGCATCTGTAATTTTAATTTATTGTTCTGTCTAAGAATTTATAAATTGTATATTGTAATAAAAATTCTGAATTTCATGTTTATTGAAGGAAATGATAAAAGTAACTTAGTTTGATTGTATATATTGTCACATGTATGCACAGCAAGTTAGGTAAAAATAAATTATTAAAAATGATGCATACGAAAAAAAATTATGACATAAAATGAAGCACATTTATTTATAATAAAATATCTCAAGAATATAATTCAAAAAATCTATGAAAATTACTTAAGGTATTAATTAAATTTTTTAGTATATAATAGAAAGGAATAAAATCACATAAGTCAAAAAATTGATTATTTTTAATTATTATTTTTAGTAAAGAAAGTTCAAAAAATGTCTCCAAATTGACTAAATTAATTGTAATCTGTTATTTCTTTTGAGAAATATTTCTTAATTCTATTAAAGAAATATTAAAATATAACTGATATGAGAAATTATGTATTGCTTCATAACTGTTTAGGAAAAAATTGAGAAGCAACTTTGATAAAATCTCTGCTAGTAGTGAATAATAACAATGGAATATATATTCAATCTATACAGTCATTACTGTATTGGTTATAATACTATAATAGTGTAATAAAAATATATCCAACGAACACAAATAAAAGCAAATATGATTTGTCTAAGATAGTAGAGCTTTAAGAAGTTCAAATACGGACGCAATGGCTTCTACTTATGAATATTTCGAGGATTTTTAATAACACTATTTTTTAAAAGTTATTAAAAATCTGGAATATGTAACCATGTACAAAAGTGCAGAGCTCATAGTAGAATTAGCCGACGAATTTATTTAAAATTTTTTGTTCTATTTTTTTTTTAAGGTAAAAAATGCACATTGTTTTTAAAAACTATTCATAACTCGTGTACTTACCCGGAACTGACTGGAATGGTCAAATTTATGAAAGTCGGGTTCTAGTTCAAGTGCTTCCTCTAGATTTTGCAAGAATTGTCTTTGGAATGTCACAATTTCATGGATGTTACCGAACAGCGCATTAATTTCAGCATTTGACAGGAATGTTTCACGTTTCATTGGCTCCAAGTAATGTTCTAATAGATTATTTAAGTGCTGCAAAATACACAGACATATTTTATTGAATTTGTCTTATAAAAAAATTTGATTAATTTAATTCATATTAAAAATAATATAATTATTAAAAAAGTAAATTTATTATTTTTGTTAAATATATCAAATAAAATTACTTTTATAATTACTTCTTATAATTACTTTTTTTTTATGAAGACGTGGTATTATATTTACAAGCAAAATTGTTTTTATTATATGGCAAGCATTTAGAATATAAAATAATATAACATAGTCTAATTCGAAAATGTAGGTAGACTGCAATGACATGCCTGATCACATAGAACTAAATAACAACAAGTGCGCAGATAAGCTCGTAAGGACGAGATCACCCACTGAATTCTCTGGACCGGAGCCTTATTATGGTATACGTTGGTTTATAACAAAGTATTCGATAGAAAAATGTTTTGTACCCGAAAGAAGTTTCTACTTGTGCGACCCTCTAGGAATTCAGGCTAAATAGCTAGTGCATTTATACAATAAGGTGTTGTTTCTCAGTAGAACGGAAAAAAGCTTTTTGGCTGGTTATTTCACCAGTTTTTATGGTGTGCGTTATTTGCTTAACAAGACAGAGTGATATTTTTGATTAGCTAAAGAACAGGTAGGGTATCGTTACTGTTAGTAGAATGGAATTGCGATTAATGGCAGATTATCTAACTATCATTATGGTTAGACTTATCATCTTAACAAGAACAAGAATATCGTCCCTGATTTGTAAGGAATGACACATCTTGTCACATCTTCCCTTATTGTCTGGTTTTGATATGGTTCAGCACGAGACTGTTAGGTTGGAAGTTCTAATACTCGTCCGAAGTTAGAATGTCTTTAACAACTGACATTTAGTTTTTTATTTAAAAGCTAAAGTGTCTTCTGTTTAGTAGGGGTCGGTAAGATACACAATCGTGGTCAAAATATTCTGCTCTATGGAAACTAGTACCCATACTTATTATTCTATTTTATAACATTGCATACTCAACTGACTTACTGAACTGTTATCTAGTGATACATTTAGATGTTTACTATAAATCCATCATTTTCTTATTCATATTTTAAGCACAAGCCCTTAAAGTATTATCTTAAAATATGTTAAATAAATTTTTTTTGTTAATACCAACAAACATAATTACAATATCTAACGGTTCACATAATTTCGTCAGAGGTTAAATACAAAAATATTAATTTGCAAAATACAAAACCCAAAAATGTCACTAATTATTTAATTAAGCAAATCTGTTTTTATCCTTTCTAACTTTTTCTAGCAAACTTTTACATTATAATATTTTATTGATAAAAGTAAAACAAAGTTCATAAGTAAATTCCGAACAGCAGTTCATATTTGCAATTTTTCTTACAAATTAAGTAAGTAAGCAAAGAAAAAAAAAACAGAGAAAAAAGAACAACAAATTGTCTACCATACTTCACATTCCAGCAGAATGTAAATAACAACTCTGTAGCTTCCAGGCATTCACAAAAATTTTCTAGAGTAATTATTTTTTTTTCCTATCCACCTTGCCCACCGCAGAACGTTACTCACTTGGCGTTCAGGCTTTACATAATTTGCAAATTAAAATAATTATTATTATCCTTTCGTGTTTTGCTTATCAGTGCTGCTGTGAATATTTTCATTTGTGGAAGAAGCGAACCTGCTGCCATGCCACAAGTAAAAGGATTCCACAAAAAACTACAGCAGAAACCAAATACTTTAAGTGTTGGCAAGAGTAGTAATAAAATTTGCATTTAGCCCGCATTTTTGCACCTCAAGGGTTTTTATTTTTATAGTAAGAAAATTAAATAGAAAATCGTAAGTAACTCTTCATACTGCGCATCTCTTTGGCAATTTACTAAAATCCACTTTACTACGTTTTCCGTCATGCTACTACTATCTTTCCTCATTTACTGTTTACTGCTCTATTCAATGCGCAGCAAAGCAATACATTTCTTTACTTTAGTACTTTTCTTTTCCTTTCTTTACTTTCTTTACTTTCTGTAGGTTTTAAGTAGAAAAGTAATTAATTTTTAAGACGATTATCATACCTCGTATCTGCTTTTTGTCCCTATTGCTTTGCTTGCTACCTAACTACCTAACTACATATTTCATTTACTATTTCTATTTTAAGCTATTTATTCATTTTGTTTTATTTTTCTCTATTTTGTCTATTTTCTATATCTTTTTTGTCATATAGATATACAAAATTTATTCATTTTATTTCTGTCGTTCAAGTCGTTGAAGTCGTTTTTATCGTTTTTGTCGTTTTGGATTTTTATATTCTGTTATTCGGTGTCATGCTAAGCTCCAACACTTAAGCGTATTTTGTATGAAATCTCCATTGCTGCTTACACTTGAAACGAAGCCGTAAAGGATCTGCTTTTTTGTTCCACTAATTTGTAGTGTTGCATTAATAATGCACTCCTCAAGTTGCCTAATGCGTTTTAAATGCGATGAAAGGCGATAAGAGCACATTAAGTTCAACGATGCTTTGTACTTTTAGGGTTAAAAGTGTGCATCAAAATAAGATTTTGAGTACAACTTGAAGGATTTAATTATTTATTGCATGTAATGAAAAACGAACATGGAAAATTAATTTTTATTTTTTTATTTATAAGTGAGAGGTTTTTCACAAAGATGTAATAGAAGAAAATTTTTTATTAATTTAGTAACAAAAATAGTATTTTAGAATTGTAAAATCAGATAAAAATATATAACAAATAGAAATCAATTCGGTATGATTCATTTAGTTTTAAATATTTAACTTTTATAATATTGAATATATATTTTATTAAAAAAAACTCAATTTATTATTAACTGCCAGTTTTACAAGCAGCGACAAAGTTGGAAGTAATGAAGTCCACAAACATAGATTGGTTATGCCAAACCATCGATTACAGGTCGTTGCAGTTGAAGTACAATAATGGATAGAAGATACTGGAATCATGAAAGAGGTTGTGCTGTATTTATTCATAGTAATGCGCGACCTTTTTCATTTTAAAAGATAGACTAAAAATGAAAATGTTTTAGCTACAAAGTATTAATTTGTAGGATGAGTGGAACTATGCAGAAACCCCGCACCTATCAATGAGTTAAAGTGCCCAGATGCAATAACTTGGAAAAGGCTCAACAATGAGATAAAGAGGAGTAAATATATATGTAATAATTTTTGAGTGTAGCTTCGTATTGGCATTACATGATAAAGCTTTTAATGTCATATATATTTAACGAGTTAATAGTCGATAAAATACAAAACGGATTATGAGTTGCAGATTAATGGGGTTGGTGATAGTTAGCAACTTCTCTCCCCTCTCTAACATAGGTTCACCTCATTTAGGTATACTCAAAGAACTCGGCAATCTATTTGTCAATTTTTGCAAAGCCGTTTGTTTTTATTTC